AATAGATGAGAAGCAAAGCCAGGTCACTAACACAGCACCTCATAGATGTTTCTTACATTACACCTGCCTCCCCTGTTAGAATTGTGGGTTTCTTAAGGCTAAGAACTGTGCTTAAATTCCTTTTTGAATTCTCAGGGCTTGGGACAACACTCTACATCATAATAGCTCAATAGTAATTAGACAAATAAGGGAGTCCTATTTTAGCAGGAAGGTAAAGGTAGGGACAAAAGTGGGATAATAATCATTATAGCCAATATTTACTGAGTGTCTTATTGGGCATTGTTCCCAAACCATGTATCATCATATTTAATATGTAAACACTGCCCAGGAAGGCAGTGCTGCCAGTGGTGATGTCCATGAAGTGGACTCTGAGACAAAATTTAGGATGCACAGTGTATATTAGGGAGCACCTTTGAGATTAGCAGCTATGAAAGGAAGGGGAAGGAAGGAAGGCTGGTTAGAGAGGGAGTAAAGCTACAATGCAGACCTCACAATAGCTGTAGTCACTGGAAGCTCTGAGGCCAAAATGATCTATTTGAATTGTCCTAATTTGGATCCAAGTAACCAGCCTTATACATCCTCCAGCCTCAACTGGCCATTAGGAGTAGGCATTCCTGGGAGAATATGGTCCAGGGCTGAGATGCTCTCTGCAGCTAAGGCAATCCCCACTCTGCACAGCTGGGGCAGCTTGGCAATGCACTTCAGGTAGCCACTGTTATTAGCCCTTTACACAGAAAAAGAAACTGAAACACAAGACACTTTAGTTAACACCCTGCCTGGTCATAGAGTTAGTGGCCAAACCCAGTCTCAAACCCTGACAGTTTGGTGCAGAGCCTATGTTCTTCCTCAGTACACCACCTTCTTGAATAAAGTACACCTAATCCTACCAGTGGGCCAGGGCCTCCCACATGCCCTGTTAATGATTTAAACTCCTGGCTTTGGAGAGGGTGAATTTGTCCCTACATGCATAGAAGTTTAGCTTCACCAAAGAATGGAAAAGACAGTTCAGGCATTATCATCAATGCATAGGAAAGTGTTGACACATGTTCTTTGCCTAGCATTATGCTAGGCACCTTGAAGGATATAAAGGAAGCAGAATATGTAGTCTCTTTTCAGAAGCTTACAGTTTAGGCAAGAGGATGAACCACAGACATGTGAAGTACTTATTGGAAATATCCCAGAGCCTAAATGAGTAAGTGCAAAGTGATTGCTATGTTGGATAATAGTAAAACAGACAAAGGGCAAGCAAACTTTTAACAGTCCTTTATATTTACAAAGTTCCACCCCCATTAACACTGACTTTGGGTCTTGGAATCCAGAATAATAATAAACTATAACCCAAGTATAAAAGGAACTAGATGTTAAAGGTTTTAGAAAGACCCACAGGCCTGAGTACAAAGAGGTTTCCAGGGCAAATTAAAATTCCCAGCCATTGGGGATTGGGGGTGCAGCTCAGTGGTAGAGCATGCATCTAAGCATGCACAAAACCTTGGATTCTGTCCTCTGTGTATGCCTTGAATTTTCACTTTAGTGTTCTAATCTGACTCCTGAGTATGAGATATTTTAACTAAATCTTGGCCACTTTTCCTTTACATGGGTGGGAATGCTTAAAAACAGGAGAATAATATGATTTACTTTACTAGTTTTTTTGAGTAGGATTTTCTTCATACAAATTTCATTGTTCATTCAATAATTGAGTACCATCAACTTTTGGGTAGTTAACATTGTGGTTAAGAGCGTGTTTGACAGATTTGGATTGAGTTACAACCCTGCCACTTACTCCATCTGTGAGAAGGAACTTAACTTCTCTAATCATTATTTTCTTCATATGTAAAATGGGACTAATAACAGAAGTTGTCAAATAGCATTGTGGTAAAGACTAAATAATTCATGTAAGGTGCCTGGGTCATAGTAAGTGCTCAGTAACGCTGCTTGCTACCTAAATAAAGCAGCAGGAGTGTGGGCCAGAAATCCTGCTGGGTGTTGAGCATTCAACTAAGGACAAGGGAGACAAACAGCCCCCCATATTCAAGTCAGGTGAACAGACAAGGGGGACGGACAAACAAGGTATTAAAAAGATATAGGGTTTCATGGAAATATGTAGCACTAACAGGTAAAGCCAAGGAGTTACAGAAAGATTATAAGAAAATATCATCACACCCTTTAAAAATTATATTAATTGCTGTGAATCATTGTTTCTACCATTAGACTGTAAATTCCCAGAGGGCAGCAATATTGTGAGTTGTGCTTTGTGCCATATAGCAAGCATAATGTGGTGCCTGGCCCGTGAGAAACATTCAGATATCCAACAAGTAAATGAACAAGTGAATAAGGGGGTAGAAAGACTATGTAAGGTAATTTGGTAGGAGTCCACTAGATGAGGGTGACAGGAGTGACCAATAGGAGTGGGCCTTCTTGGGGAGTTCCAGCCAGAGGAAATAGTGTGCCTGAACTCACTGAAGTGAATGAAATCAGCCATAAGTGGAAGGAGCTAAAATATAGTGAAACTGAGAAGGAAACAGAGCCAACTAGAGGGTCTTTTCATAGTAAGGAGTTTGAACTTGATGCTAAGGAATAGCAAGACATCATTAAAAATTTTTATGAAAGGAAAGCTATCATGTGTTTTTTTAAAGTTCATTCTTTATTCTTTTAATGTGCCAGTAATTCAAATCCATTTTAAGAAAAAAAAAATAGGAAACTACAGATAAGCATAATTTAAAAAACACCTATAATCTCTCTAGAGATAATCACCAATTGACCATAAATAACAAACTCTTGCTGTGTAACAAACCACCCCAAAATCTAGTGACATTAAAATAAAAAGACTTATTATTTTTGTCTGTAGACTGATTGGGATCAGCGGGTGATTCCTCTATGTATACCACAGGGAGTAGACAGTGGTATTCACCTGGGAGCGCAGATCATCCCAGATGGTCTCTCATCCTCAAGACCCACTCTCCATGTTTTCCCAAGAGCCAGAGCTCTTTTGCAACATGGTAGCTGGCTTCCAAGAGGGATTAAAAAGGTAACTGCCATACTCTTAAAACCTAGGTGTAGATATACACTGAATGTCTTCCACTGCACTTTAGTAGGCAAAGCCAATCATAAGACCAAACTTCAAGGGAAATAGACTCCCCTAATTTGATAAAAAGAGCAGCTTGTATTCCAGCAGCTTGGACTGAAGACTTACTTGCTGCCAACTTGGGAAACTACCTATGATATAATATAACTGGCTAAACACAAATGAATATAAATTTTTTATAATTCTGGTACTAAATAATTAGGAAAACTGAGTTCAAAAATTGCAAATGCAACGTACATTGTTTTATCACATAAAAATCTAAGTGGATTACCTAACCAAATTAATAATTTGCATTTGTGGTGGGGGGATGAGAGGTAAGCAGAGACATGCCATATTGGAACATAATGTTAAAATGCTCAAAGAATTGAAGACAAAGGCAGATCCTAGATCACAAATGGTTAAAATTGCCATAAGAAGTGTGCAAACAATGCCTTTGTAATAGTATCAACTCTGAGTGTGACAGGTAATTAAAGCAAATTGTTTGTCTAATCTCAACTTCCTACAGGGAAGAGCAGAAGCAGTGTCAGATGGGTAGAGACCAAGGGCCCTGGCATAATACTTCACCATGCACAACAGAAACAGCAAAGCACACACACCTGCTCCAGTCCGTCTTCCACATAGCTGTCAGTTTTCTTAACACAAAATTTTAAGCTATAGGAAACGGTATGGAGAAAAAAGCCAAAAACAAGTGTACATTAGAAAGAGACTTATATGTCATAAGATAGGGTCCAATCAGAAAACCTATTAAACAACTTTTCAGGTCAATTTTACATATTTAACAGTATGTACAGGTAGCAATGAAGAGATAAGCAATAAGCCTCAAATGAAAAATCACTAACATATTGCAATAACTCTTAGTTAAGAAGGCAGGTCTGAACCAGGGACAGAAAAAGAGACCAAGTAAAGAGAGATAAACAGCATTAAGAAAATCACATAAATGATAAGAGGCTGGTGACCCTTCAGTAAACAGGCAGAAGAGATGAAGATATCACCTTAGTATCTGACTTGAATAGATAGAACTCTTATTCACTGAGATAGACATACAGGAAGAGCAGGTTTAGGAGTGATCAGAAATTTCAGAAGTAGAATGGCAGTTGTAAATAAACAGGTTTGGGAGCTCAGTAAAGTCTAAACATAATATACTTAAAATCAGAAAAGGATACAAATGAAATCATATCCAACTTACTCAGAAGGAGCATCTACAAGAAGCAATACAACCCTAGAGGAACTGAAGAGGGTCCTAAGATTTGGAAAGTCACAAATAACTTTTACATCTCAAAGAACCAAAATCTGAATGCAGAATATTTTGTTCATTATGTGCCAAAATTAATCAGAAAATCATCCTCAAGCAGATTCTCCACTGAAGGGTAGGAAAATACACCCTTATCTCCAAGGAAGAAGTGGTCTTACATGAAAACCATATTTAGCATACTCTGATTTTTAACCAACACGGAAAATGATGTCTACAAAATCAAACTAGATGGGGGAACTTCTACAAAAAAAGATCACCACTTGTGAAACAACCTGAGACATAAAGATCCAAACAGCCAGTAGCCAGCAGGACTCCATCCATGCTTATTCACTAAGCAACATTGTAATTAGAATTTGATTTGTCAGAGATTGTACTGACCTGCCAACCTGGGCATTCCGGTTGCCTTTCACCATAATTTAAAAGGCATTCAGGTTAATTCCCAGTCTCTGAGAGCTTACTTTACTATGAATCCACCCCAGAGAGAAGTCAATCCTCAAGTGACAGATTCACTTTGGGTACTTTCAAGGCAGAACAAAACTGTGGTAAGGAGCTATTACCCAAAGGACTTTTGGTAGCCAGTTAGAAGGCTGACAGTAGAGGCACTTCAAGCCTCCTCATTGAAATTCAGCAAGTACTTTTACCAAAAGATTAAAAATTAGGATGTGATTGCAAACAAAAATTCAATGATATTTTTATTGAATTATAATCTATTATCACTTCAAAAAGATCCACTTCAGAAAACATCCAATGGATGTTGACTTACCAGTAAAAAAGTAAGTCATCCATGTCTAATTATAACACCAAATACATAATAAATTATATTTACATGCAATGACTAGACTATCACACACACAAGGTAAAAAAATACAGTATTTTATGTACAATATTAAAGATTTACATTTTCATATACAGTTTTATAAAGTTAAAAATTCTCTGTACAAAATCTTAGGTGTACAGAGTTTTTATATATCCCCATCCTTACAGCTGGATCACAACAGATTTGCTTAAAACTATAATACTACAAACACTGGAGTTCTTTTTACTTCATATTAAAATCTTGGCACCCATATACTAACACATTATTTTTGAAATGTGAATTACAAATGAAATAAAATGTGATCATGCAGACTTTTTAATATAAGAAAATGAGATAAAATGTGCTTCTAAATCAACATTTATCAATTCCATAGTTAACCTAGTTCTGTTTAACTTCCTGTACTGCTTTCATACAGGTACATGCAAAACTAGCAGATTATGGATTTTTTAATAACATTAAAATAATACTATAGTCTGACAATACTTAGGCATTAAGGATTCAACTATCTAACAACTCTAGCTTAACAATTATTTCTGCTTTAGCAGAAACCTCAATTAAAGACATTATATACTAAAATTCACAGAAATGTTAACAATTCCTAAGTTTATAGGATCTGCATCAAATAGTACAATGGTCACTTAAAAAGCAACAGAAAATGTTTGACATTTAAGAATACTGTGTAGTCTCTGTTCTGAGAATGAGAGAAGAAAATCTAAGATAAACCATGAAGAGATTAACCATTGTCCCTGCTAAGGAAGTACTTGCACACTCCCAATCTGTTAAATAAAGACACCTGAAGGCTTTATAAAAAAGCTTAAGCAACACTACTCAACTTTAAAAATCTTCTTGAAAAGTAACAAATTAAAGGTATCAGCACCTTCCTTCCTGCCCCAAATAGCTAAAGACCAACAACAAAAATAAAGTGCCAATGTCTAAAGTATTGTTAATTATTTAAGAGGCACTAACCCATTTGATGGCTTAGGATTTAAATATGAAAATAGGCCAGATCTGATCTGAATAATAAATAGAAGGTAGGTATTCTAGTCCATGTAATTCCTGCCTAGATGGGGGCTGGACTAGAAAACCACCTACTCCCCCATTTATTGCTTTAAAACTGGTAGACATATTTTAAACTCTGACACAGAACAATCAGTTAAGATGGAAAACACAGTGTCTGTGCCACTTTGAAATTGAAAAAGAAGGTGCACTCTTGGTCACTGGGTGGAGAACTGCTGAGACTCTCTTCTCCACAACTCATATCTTCACAAGAGTCCTCACTAAAAGGAAAAAGAGACAAAAAGAGTGGATCGTTACTTAAAATACACAGATGCTTTACAGGAAAAAGAACTAAACTGTAGTCTGTCTATATGCTGTAGTCTATATGAATATCTCTAGTCTTAGGACTTTGTATGCAAACGTTATTCTTTATTCAGAGCCGAATTTGAGTTGTAAGGATCTCCTAGGGTGAAGTTTATTGTAATCTCATTAGAAAATAATTTTTCTTTAAGAGATTTACACAAATTACTACTTGCCAAACTAATATTCTTATTCCAAATAACAACTCTTGCATTAACCATTTAAAGAATTCTAAGTGTTTTAAATCCAAGAAATGCAAACTAAAGACAACATATGTCCTATTCCATAGTCTATTTAAATGTCCTTCTAGTATCAATAATCATCACTAATCCTCTCCAAGTATCAAAGCAAGAAACCAACAAGCTACAAAAATGAAAATTCTAGTCTTTTTATCTCTGCAGCATAAAACAATCAAGTTTATTAAAAATATTCACTTTACAAAAATGATTAATTCTAAAAAAGAAAATGACATTTGGCAAAACTGAAAAAATATCTGTAGAACTTGGCCCCTTTATTTTCCAGTCACCTACTCCTCAGTCTCTTCCTCATAGCATCATATTAGAAATTCATTTGAACATTAAAAAGCCTAGAATACTGTTGTTTGTTTTAACTGATCTATATTTCAAAGAGGGCTGGGATTGTGGCTCAGTGGTAGAGTGCTCGCCTAGCATGCACAAGGCACAGGGTTCAATCTTCAGCACCACATAAATGTAAAATAAAGATATCGTATCCACCTAAAACTTAAGAATAAATATTAAAAAAAATATTTCAAAGAGCAGGAGACAGAGACAAAAACAACCTTTTTTTAAGGGGAGGCTTATAAATTATTATTATTTTAATGAAACTGCTGGTTAATTTTTTTCTTAAGAAATTATGCAATAAGAGTAGGACCTTTTTCTGATGCCTTATGTTGCAGTAATCCACAGCTCTTTTTCAATAAATATTAGTTATAGTGTGTGGAAGTCTAATTAGCCAAGATACCTGCTTACCTTTCACTTTCATCAAAACAACCCCTCTCTGGGATTGTTGGCAACTCGGGAACACTATAGTAGCTATTGTGGAGGTTCTGAGCTGTGCGCCTTGAAACAATCCAAACTAACTTCTTAAGATCTGGTTTGCAACATTCAGGAGAAGAATATTCAGCTAAACATTTAGATACTAGCTCCCTCCAATAGAAGAACTCGGTGTCATTAATCTGAGAGGAAAAAAATATATATATTTTAATGAAGAGGTCACAGCACTGGTTCCCAAACCCTGCACTTGGAATTATCAGGTGATCAGTTTAAAAAAAAAAAAAGGGATGGCAGGTTCCATCCCCAAATATTATAATTTGATACAGAGTATAACCTGGGTGTCAAGAGATTTTTAAGTCTCCTAGATAATTTAAATGCGATCAAAATTTGGGAACCAATTTTACAGGAAGAGCACTATAATTTACATAGCATTCAATACATAGAAAGGTTTGCCTATCTAACACACTGACTTAAAAATACTGTCTTTTAATAAATCAACTATCAAATATATTATACTTTTCTCTCCCCCACAAGTATATTCTTTACTAGTCCCATGCAAAAAATAAATAAATAAAATTAACATTCCTTTTGTTACATAAACATTGTTATAGAAATCAATGTTGTTTCTATAACAAGACACTGTATAGGTTGCTAATAATATACATTTATATTTTGACACCAGATATAAACTAAAGGAGAAGTTACCAATATGAAAGAAGACCCCCCCCCAAAAACAAACAAACAAAAAAAAAGTTCCTTCACCACTGGGTAATGCCCAGTTTATTTCATGGAATCAATTTCACTGATGATGCCTCCATATATCACCATTAATAAGTTCAGATGAAAACTGTAAAATTATGATTAAAAAGCCTAGAAGTTACCAACAAAATATTTCACACCACATGCCCTTCCACCACAAGCAGAAGGTTTTTGTATCATCTTGGCCTCCATTTCCACTAGATTCAGTCACATGTTAAGCCTCCTATAATCTGGCTTCAACCAATCCTTTCTCACTACTCTAAGACATCAATGACTTCCTTCAATTTTCATTATACTAAACTTCTCATCAAAATTCAATACTCTTGGCCACCTCCTTCTTAAAAACCTCTTTCCAACCTGACCATGCTCTTACTTGTCTAGATGTACCTCTCTGTCTTGCTTGGGTCCTAAGGGAAGAAAAGGGCAATATTGAAAACCCTAGAGCTTCAAAGAAGCTCCCTAAGTTTCTTTAGGTTTCAACTATCAGTTCTTCATGGAAAATTCCCAAACTAAATCTTTAACCACAATTTATCTTCTGAGTTTTTATTCCAGGCTGCCAAACACATGCATGCCTGGGTATGCAAGCATCAGAAATCATACTTCTTTCATCACAAATTAACTTCTTCCAAGTTTCTTTGAATTATGCCAATATTCTCTCCATTCTAGGTCCAAATCTTGGTCATTCACAATTCCTTGCCTCATTTCCATGCTGGGCTCTGAAAACTATTGCTTGTATTTGATTTTCTTATTCCTGCAGTGGCTATCACTCAGTCTACCTGCACGCCTACCCTAAAATGACTTTCCAAACCCATCTTCTAACAGTCTACTAATTTTTTAAATATAAGCTTTTATTGTGCAAACTTTCACTCTTGAAGAATTTCTTAGCACTCACCAGGCTCCTCTCCTGGTCTGCCATATACCTTGGCTAACAACCCCCAAACATTCCTATATTCACTATTATCTGCATTGAAACATGATAATAAACAACAGAATACACTATCTCATGATTTGTTTCCTCAGCTAGACTATTAATTTATAAAAACAAACTGTGCTTATTTTTGCCTTACCCCTCTTTTTGACTGCAAAAACACTGGGATGGCCTGCCTAAGAGGCTTAAAAAGAGAATGCTGATGTTAATTTGGTAATGCTACTAATGAAATGATTCAGCCCTACAGATGAGAAGGAATGCCATCCTATTCTATTAATGCACATATTAAGTCTACTTCCTAGTATACATTTTAAAACAATGTGCATGTGGCAATATATACAGCTTTATTAGCCTCTGACATGATACTACAGAAAGGACACCTGCAAGCAAACACAGTGTTGGACTAACTGATCAAACTCCCATCTAGCTTAATATCAAAAGCTGTATTTATACTTGATAATATAAGAAAAAATGAATATAAAAATTAAGAACTCCATACTATATTACTTAATATTTAAGATACCACAGGGGAAAAAATGAAATATCAGGAAAAAAAACCTTGGACTTAGGATATTTACCTTGGAATGCTTTTTAACAAGCAGGAGAATTTCCAGTAATTCAACGGATTTCAAAGTTTCTACTTCCAAATTGAGAAGGCACAAAGCTAATATAGATGGCTATCAAAAGATAAAAAGAGAAAGAAAAAAGAAAAAATTAAATTTATTTTTTAAAATTCAAAATAGAAACTATGAGACGTGTAAGAAATACTTACTTTGGCTTTGGAAAAGACAAGTCGGCAGTTGCAAGCTTTCAGCTGAGCTTCTAGTTTGTCAAGGCTCAGTATTTCTTTCCTATAAAATACAAATGTCAAAGTCTTAAATGATTTTAAGAACTTCCTATTAAAAGTGCAAGTTGATCTGGGTGTGGTGCTGCATGCCTGTAATCCCAGAGAACTGGAAGGTTGAAGCAGGAGCATCCCAAGTCGAGGACAGCTTCAGCAACTTAATGAGGCCCTAAGCAACTTAATAAGTCCCCAAAACTCAGCAGCACTTAACCACTGAGCCACATCCTCAGAATCAAAAACCAAAAAGAGAACAAGTTGAAAAGTGGCACCCTAATATTTTACTGTTACAGCAATGCTCAAAGAACAAAACTTTCATTATTAATCCCACTAACCTTTCTGATATATGACAGAGTATAATAGTATGATATAAGTGCAAAAAGTTTAAGGCAGTAGTAGCTTCCAATTCATAGTGCAATTTTTCTGAAATTATTTTTTCCATCCGTTTTATGTCAGAAGCAGTACATTTACACTGACTAATCCGGATTACATCATGAATAGACGGAATATTGCATTCTTCTTCAACTATTCTAGCAGCCAGTAGAAAACAACAGACTCCAATGCAAGATAAATGCTTAGGTTTCACCTGGAAAACAAAAACAAAAGAATTCTTTTAACTGTCACTTTTTAAGTATAGCAGATACTTAAAAATATATAGTAATCATGCCCCTACTCTTAAAAGAGAACACAATACAGCTGCTTCTCTTATATATATACACTTGCCTTTACCCACAATTATAATCATTTTTACATTTTAGAACTTCTTAGCATTTGTTTTTAGGCCTGGCATGGTGGCACATGCCTGTAACCCCAGTAACTCAGGAGGCAAAGGCAGGAGGATGGCAAGTTCAATGCCAGCCTCAGCAACTTAGCGAGACCCTGTCTGAAAATAACAAAGGGCTGGGATGTAGCTCAGTGGCAGAGTGCCCTGGGTTCAATCTCCATCCCCAGCACCAGTAAAATCAAAATCCAGTTTAAAAAAGTAAATAAATAAGGTTTTTTTGAACATTTAAAATATTTAAATGCAAGGGGAAAAAACACAATGCAGTGAAAAGTTAGATTTCTAGCACTGAGTAATACTCTGTAATCTTTTAAATTTTGTAAATCTAAAATAAAATCTCCCTCAAAAAAATTGAGCTTTTCAACGTTAAAAAAAGAAAACCTGCTACTTCTTCAGATATAAAAACAATACTTTCTACAACTTTTTATGCAAAAAATCTTTAAGAACTATTCCATACTTCTACATTATTTTACCCAAGAGAAATATTACATCAGTTTGTGCAGCATGTGGGACATGTATAAAAGATGCAATGGACAGATGGCTGTCCTTTTCTTTCCAGTGCCCTGAAAACTGACCTAGCAGCTGAGAGCAATCCTACTGGCAGGAGAATTACCACATTTTTCTAACAGTTGCTAGTGATTGTTAATGACTGTGGCTCACTTTCAAAAGACTCACAGGGAAGGGTGTCTACTTCATTTGTTGTGTTTTGGAATTAAAAGCATCTATCTAGGCTCTAATAGAACTGTGATGAAAATGAAAACTTCTTTTGAGAACTGTATACATATTTATATTGAGTACTGAATAAAGCCTTCTTTTCGACACATTTTCCAAGAAAAAGTATTTAAGAGGTACAGCAAAACCTAGTATAAGATACAATATACACTTAAAGTCTCTTGATCTGGCATTGGCACTAACGATCACAATTCTTATTATAAATGTATATGTATAATAGACTTCTGTTACGTTCACTTAATAAATATTTACTGAACCCTTTGTGCTAGGCTCTGGACATAGAAAAGGTATTAATAGGATGTAATTACAGAAATGATTAAATACCTTCATAAGAGCCAAGAATCTGTCCAAAATATTGACAGCTAGAACAAACGTTTCAGTGCAAGATCCAAAAAAGTTAGTTAAACTCCTTAAATCTTCTACTTTGGCATTTCTCAATCTTGAACACAGAGTATTATCATTCTACAATAAAAAAACAAGAGCCAAAGTTAATTATATTCTTAAAACTATATAAATGATGCACAGATTCAAAGAATAAGGTATCCTTTCCCTTTAACTTTCAACAACACAGAGGGAAAAGAGTGGTTAATAAAGCTTCATCAGATATAAGATGTAAAACACTAATTTAAAAAAACACATCATAAAAGAACTTCACAAATTCAACATAACCTGAACTTTTGCCACACTCCTGAGGGTAACAGCAAATACAGTATAATTCAGTTCCCTTAGAATAAATGTTTCCTTGCTTGTTTTTGTTTTTCTAAAATCAGCTAAGATTCTATAAATATTTCATAGGCAGAGGGTAGGAAATGAACTGCTCAATTCTCTAAGAGTCTCACACTCAGAAGAAGCAGGCTGGGGAAACTAACATCTGAACTTCTCTATACTTGGTATTACTTCCTTTCTTGCTAAGAAACAAAAACACGATCCTGTACAGTATTAAGGTTTTTCTTAGTACTCCAGGAAGACCAATTTTGGTCTTTTGCTGGCCTAAGTCTTCATTTAATTGGAGGCGGGATCACCTTCTCCAATCCCCACTAGCTACTTGAGCAAGTCCTCCTTCCTGCAAACTTACCTCTGGGGTAGCCTCGATCAAGCTCAGCCCTTTCTCTCGAGGTTGGAATCTCTGCTCTTGTTCCAGATAGAAACTCAACAATCCAAGGAGCTGAACTCCTTCACGATCTGCCAAGTACTCTGCCCCCAAATCCTTCATCTGTAGCAAAGACACCACATAAGGTTAAATATGTAACTTAGGGGTGCGGGGACCATGAAGTAGGGCAGAAAAAAAATGATGGCAATACCTCCAACGAGGGGCGCCCCAGCACACCCCTGCAAGGAAATGGTGGTGAGGGGACCAATCTGCCAGAACCTCCCTGACCGCCAAGGAGGTGTGGCAGGGGAAGGGCTTGTGGTCACGTCCGCTGGCCAGCGCTGGGCCAAACCAGCCAGCCCCAGCTGAGGCGCTTCACAAACAGGAAACTGTCTGCGGGTTGGCAGCGTCCCTAGGGTCTGCCTATCTACCCCACCTAAAGCTGTGCATAGAGGATTTCTGTCCAGGGGACTGCACAGGGACTGTAGGGACCACGCAGGGAGCCGGGGAAGCTCCAGGGTTCTGGAGGTGGGGTATTGCACAATAGGAAGGAGGGGAGAAAAAGTCTCTGACTGAACAAAGAACCGGAGGGAGGAGACTCTCGAGCCCCGCCCCGCCTGGGGATCCCAGCACCAAAGACCCCGCTCGTTAAAGCCCAGCCTCCAAGATTTCCCTATCCGCTTCCGCAGCGCCAATTACTTAAGTACCCCAAGTGCCAGACACCCCAATCCGAGAGGGGGCGTGGCCCGCTGGGCTGGGGTCGAGATACAGAGCTTCAGTCTGCCCACACCGGAACATCACCAGTGAATCCACTCACGCCTGGGTTCCGCAACTGTGCGGAGCTCTGGGGCTGTCAATCCTGGAAGCACCACCCAAGCAAGCCCCCGTGACAAAAGGAGGTGGGGATGCCGAAGCAGAGAACTGCTTTTAGCCTTGTTGCCCCCTTCATCCACCCCACCAACATTGACTGCCGCAACTCCCAGGGGCTGGAGCAAAGGGCAGGACCTGGGCTGTTGGGGTGGATGGATGGGTGATGGGTAGATGGATGGATGGGTGGATGGGTGGTGGATGGGTGGGGGGGTGGGCTGGGGGGGGGATGAGGGGGTGGGCAGCAACCAGAAGTCTCTAATCACCCTCCCCCATCCCCACCGCAATCTCCACGGAGGAACAAAGAAACCCAGAGCAATCCCAGGAGGCCCACTCACCGTGCCAAAGATGCGCCTCCACGGCCCCTGGCGTTGCACTTCAGAGTGTACCGGGTGCGGTGGGGGCGCCGGACCCGTCTCCGTCTCTGAGGTCTGGGACCTGCCGCCTCAGCGGTGCCCCGGGGCCGACATCCCAGCCTTCCCTCCTGCCACGGCCGCCTCGGCCTTACAGCCCTGTCTTCATCCTGCTCCCTCCAGCGCCCACCCAGCTCTGGGCACAACGCTGACCCCTCACTGCCGGTGCCTCTACCTGCACCGCCTTAGCCTCAGCGAGGCCCCAGCAAAGCCCTTGTTTTTGTTTTGAGTTTTCGACGCCCCCAAGGGGGCGGGGCACGTGACTCTCCGCGGAGGAATCCTTCACTTCCTCCACAGACTTTGAAAAAGAGTCCCGCCTCTAAGCCACAGTGTCCAGTGTCTCTCTGGGCCTCCACAGCTCTCCTAGGCTGTACCTAGCCAGCCCCCGCCCAGTTACAAAGGCCGTGGGTGGAGTCTGGGCATCCGTCTCATTTCACAATTGAAAGGAGGAAAGGGCAGTGAGCTGGTTGAGAGGCGGAAGGAGATCATTTCTAGTCGCATCACACCTTTTAAAGGTCCCCGATTTGTTTTGTTTCCCCCGTTTTGAAAAGTCCGCCCAAAGTAGCCGCGTCTCTGATTGGATACGGGTGGGGTGAGCAGAATGCGGAGGACCTGATTCACTTTTGAATCTGGATTGGCTAACTGATTAGTTTTTGCACCCTCTGATTGGCTCTCGCTGTATCCTGCACCTCTATCTTCCTCCCAGCCTTAGCAACTCTGAGGTATGGGTGCGCATGCTCAGATTAGGTGTCTTTGATGGCATTCAGTTACCTGCCTCGGGGTTTGTGTCTTTTCTCCGGGGCACCTCCACCTGTCCAGGGAGATACACCATGCTAGACAGTCTTTGTGACAACCACTTCTGCCAGGGGGAAGTCTTGTAGTTTTTTTTTTCTTTGTTTCTTATTTTGTCCAGAGCTATTTTGCAATAACCAATCAAATTACTGTAACATTTTTAGGGTCTTTAAAATGCCATCGTGTTTTGGTATTTATTTAAAATTTTTCTGACCCAGGAGGGGGGAAAAAAAACGGAGATAGATGAACAAGATGGACAAAAAAATGGAAAGCTGTTGAAGCTCGGCAATACAGATTGCATTCTTATTCTTTCTACCTTCTGTACCTTGAAGTTTTTCTATAATTAAAAAAAAAAAAAGTTCAAAGGAAGTTTTTTTCAATAAAAACTGCACATGATGAGGGCACCTAAACATCTAATCACTATAATAGCATTCCACCAGAGATTGTGGTTGTGCTGTTGTTTTAATGAAGGCTTCTAGAGCTGCTTGGTCCTCAGTAGCCTATAAAGTACCATTTATTGTCCATTATAATTAGTATAGTTATTAAGGTGGACACCTCTCCCGAGGCGGGGCAAAAAGAAAACCAACTAGGTGCCTTAGGCTGGAGAAACTTTCACACGGAATATGTTCAGGAGATGTAAGACAACCCTGGAACATTTATAGTTCCTTTCTGCCTCCTCAATCCTCGTCTCCTGCCAAACTTGAAAACCCGTAAATAGCACATTCATGAGTTCTAATCTAAATAATCAACCCCTGAAAAACAGTTTCTCCTTTCTGCTCCTCTGTATGTTTTCTGTGAATTATTATGTTACTTGTGAAAAATGGGAAGGCACATAACATAGCTTTAACATCAGCTTTCTTTTTTCCAAAGCAGCTAAGGAAATAGGTCCCTTTTTATATTAACTGCAACTAAAACACTGGAGGAAGGGAGCCCAAAGAACTATCCTTTTATTTGTGGAGGTGTACCCTTGTTGGAATTTTTAGAAAATGATGTAAAACTAACACACTACTACATAATTTTATTCAATGCTTCTCTAATTATTTAAACCTTATTTAAATTCTTATTTGACATAGTTTTTTTTTGGCCAGAAATCCATGCTAATAAACTTAAACAGAGACATGAACTAATTTGGAGAATAGATCCAAGATTAGACTATCGATTACAGCTCCCATACAGAGAACACAGAGGCTCAGGAAACAGTCCAGAGACAGAAGCAGCTGTACAAAAACATATACCGTGGGAGAAGAGAGTTTGTGGCCAAAATGCGAAGGACACTGAGGACTTTTTATTTTTTTTAAGTAAGAAGACAAAGGTAGACAAGGAACACAAGATATAAACTGAATGATATGAAATAGGAAATGTAAAATTATGTGAGAATTTTTAAAATAACAATTATAAGAAGGAAGGGATCTAGAAATTTCTAGATCCTTTGTTTAGACCATTAAATGGTATAAGTTATGCAAAATATATATTATATTTTATAAATGGTATTTTATGTACCTTTTTTTCCAGGCGGCCTTTTGAATGATGTGAACAGTTCTCTAAGAGTAAAACAAGAAGTTTGTAAATGGTTTTGAATTTCCTGCTCTTTGTATAGCCGGCTTAGCTCAGCACAAGAAAAAGATGATCAAGTTGTCCAACACGGAGCCCTTTATCCTATGAGTCCACTTTTCTCTTTAAAAGTGAAGGAAAACATCATTTTTAAGAAATCATCCATGAGTTGCATCATCTTTTTTTTTTCCATCCTTCAACTCACCTCCTATTATTTAACAATGTTAATAATCTGGAGGGAGGGGGAAATTGTATAGGTTTTCTCTAATGATTTTGTTGTTGTTGTTGTTTATATATATTTTTAATTTAGTACATTGAATCGTTTTTTAAAAATTAATATCTCTAATGAGGAGGAAAGTTGGGACAGCCTTTCTCCAGACTTTTTTTGTCCTTATCACCTTAGCTTACTTAGTGTTTTAGGCTGTCAGTACTACTTATTAAAAAGACATTCCTCTACGCTAATCAGACTTTCCATATTAGCTATTTTTTATCCTTTTCTGAGCAGTTATTAAGAGTGGCTTTCCTGTAAGTGTGCAGCAAAATTCCCACAACTTCCTGCAGTGTGCGTCTTTACAAAAATCAGGAAATCGGAAATCTGGCTGCCCCCAAGAAGGATTTTGAAGGAATTTATTTTAAGATACTTGGTCTGATACAGAACAGTGATAGGGATACGGTAGGTTTGGATGATACTTTGCCCCCAGTAACCCCATGAAGGCTTGACACAGAGCCGATTGTCCTCAATGACATCTGAAACTGAAACTAGAAGGTGGGGACAAAACAGGAAATAAGCATGGGGCACCCACAGAGAAACAATACCTGCATTCAGCAAATTTGATTTGTGAGGTGTGTCCTTCAAACCAACTCACTCTTAACAATCTGCCTTGAAAAGAAAATAGGGCATGCCCAAGGGGCTGCTGCACCCTTCCCTAAATGATTTATATTCAGACATCTCTGAACTGTGCAAGGAATCAAAATTCCCACAACTTCCTAGATAACATCTTCCTCTTCAGAAATGATGGTCTATGACAGCAAAACCTAGCTTTTAATGCAGCAGACATATAACGAATACACAGTAAGTGCTAAGCATGATACTAGGCCTCAGGGATTCAAAAAATAAATAATGAAATAAGGTCCCTAAATGTACCCTTGTTTATATATACAGTAGGGCAAAAGTGTTCATGGTTGGATCAGAATGACTTTTAAGTTTGAGCTTCCTACTTACTAGAGATAGCACCTTGAATAATTTGCATTGTTCTGAACCTCAGCCTTCTAAGGGAAGGGGAAAAATGGGTAATTATGTCTACTTCATTTGTAACAATTAAGTACAAACCTATGTGAAAGCTTTTTGCTTGTTACCCATCTAAGCTGTTAGGATTTTTCACAACTCTGTGACTTCTGGAAGGGGAGAAAAGAAAGGATTAGCCCTAACTTCAGCAAAGAAATCTGGAAAGCAACCCTAAAAGGAAAGAATCTCAGGATCAGGATTTGTAAAGCTGACATGAGGTTACTCCACCCCCTCTCCACTTTCCTCACTATTTCTGGCTCCCTGTCTAGGCTGTTTTGGGGCTATAAACCAGTTTCTATGACAGAAATTTCCTACTTAGATTTACCCTGCTAGCAAAACCCGCAAGAGACAGGAATGCCTGTGCCAAGGAGAGGAATGGGGAAGGTATTACCCAACCCAGAATGCCCTTTAAAAGTGATTCTAATTTTTCAACCAATAGCCCATAGTTTAATCCGATCCTGGAAAAATGAGACAATTTATACATTAGACAATCAATCCCTTTCCTCAAGTAATCAACTAAATAAATCAGCAAGGCTTCTCATATAGTCTCTTTCCTGACTTTCTGAACATCAATAAATTCTTAAATCTGAAATCCAAAAGCCCAACATTTTACCACTTAGGTATCTTGTTAATGATAGAAGCACATGGTATCTTTCTGGGAAATTGTGTATATGTCTACAGAAATGTTGGTGATAATCACAACACAGTCAAAGTGTGCAGTCTCAGAATTGTGGGAATTATCCACACTGTAGAAACCATCTGAATGACCACACCAAGAGGACCAGTTTTTCTTGCCAGCCAGTTTAGCCTCTCCCAGTTCTACCAGCTTGAAGTGAGTTAGCCTTGTGTAAACTCTCTGAAATCCCAGAGCTCTATGCTCATTTGACTCTGTGGCCCCTGCATCGCTTTATTATCCAGAGCTCTTTCTTTTAGACTGAAAGTCAATTGAAAAAATGAAGTAGCTTTGAGGATGTGGAAAGGCCGTAAAGTACAACTGAGAGTACAGATATTCCTGAAATCAGAGCTGTTTATCTCAAAATATTGGTTCTCTCCTAAAGTATATGTATGTTTTTCTTTTTTCTCTTGTTTTTCTTTTTTTCTTACAACCTGGCACAAATTTAATTAAACTGTGTGACAATGGCTACAATCTTTTGTTTTGAAGAGTCAGGTTCTCACTATGTTGCCCATGTTAGTCCTGAATTCCCGGGCTCAAATGATCCTCCTGCCTCAGCCTCCCAAGTAGCTGGAATTACAGGCAGGCCAACTGCACCTGCTTCCAAAGTAAATATAAGTGCCCAGACTACATTCTGGGACATTGTGTGTTATTTACAAAGTACTTTCTTCTTCTACAACTTGTCCCAAGAATCATAACATAAATCAGATTTATTCTGTCTTTTCTTGACATCACACTGCTGTGTAAAGTTGTCACTTTCAGCAAAGACATCACTTAGGAGATGTCTGTTGAATATATCATCTATTTCCCAGAAGAAGTTTTACACCCGTGAAAGTAAGGATCTCTTATTTTGATCTCAAATGAAAAGGCAGTTGACATTCACAGTGATATGAATAAGGAGTATAAGCTTAAAATTTGCTTTTGTTAACATTTTAAAGTGATTTCAAAATGAAGGTTCTTTTCAACTTCTAAAAAGAAATATTGCTTTATAGCAAAAATTCACAAGTCTGTTTAACTCTATATATTATGTTTTTAACCACATTCTAAAGAAGAAATTGTAGCTACATACAGGAGCAAAACCAGATTTGGGGCAGGGGAAGGGTAGATGAAACTTGACAATTTGAAGGGGTTCTCTCTAGGAAAAAGAGGAGAATTTACAAATACAAAATTAGATATGAAAGCGAATATTTACAATGAGACAAATCAAGACATTATTCATTTTTAAAAGTATAAAAGCTACAACATTCTGTTGTAGCTCTCTATTGCTGTGCAAAGAATCACAACCTAACTTAGGAGCTTTAAACAACAATAATTCTATCATTATGTCCCATTGTTCTGGATATTGGCTGAGCTTAGCCAGGCAGTCCTGGCTCAGGGTCTCCAGTGGCAAGGACCACAGTCATTTTGTGACTCACTTGCTTATTATCTGGAGTTCATGCTGACTGTGTACTGGGGCCTCAGCTGAGGTTAGTGACGAGAATACTTTCGTACATGGCCTCACCATGTAGTCTTTTCACTTCCTCATGGCATGGTAATGGGGCTTGAAGAAAATCAGGTGAACGCCATTGTCTCCTTTTATAAACTAGTGTCTGTATTAGTTTCCCAATCTTCTGTAACAAATTGACCACAAATTTAGTGGCTTAAAGCATCACACATTTACTCTAATAGTTCTAAAAGCCAGATGTTCAAAATGGGCCTCACTGGGTTAAAATCAAGATTCGGGCAGAGCTGCA